AGATGCAGTACAGCCCCCAGAGGATCTGTTTAACTTGCTCCAAGTTAGATTGGTTTTGATGCCCACATGGGCACCTTAGTCATCTCTTCGTGGTATTGTCCTTGCTCATTGCAGGGGGGTTGGACTAGATGGTCTTTACTGGTCCCTTCCAACCCAAACTATTCTATGGTTCTACGGTTCTATGATGGAGTTGTGCAGAACAGACATGTTCTTTACTGGAGGAAAAAGCATGGGTGTCTCTGAGGACACGCTTGAGAAAGCCAGCATCTGATGGCTGTCCATGCTCCCTCCTCCCCGGGTTGTTTTGATTGCCTCCACCGCTGAGATCTGGGAAACTGTGATAATATTAACCATTTCCTGCTCCTTCCTCCCAATTTGTCGACCAGGGTTGGCAGATATCTAGATTTACCCTGGTCCATCAGTGATCCACAGCAGGCTGTCACTGCCCTGGAGCATTAGTGCCTGTCCCAGCAATCACCACCTAGACGCTAGCGGTGATGCCCTCACCAGAGCCCTGGTCCATCAGTGATCCACAGTGGGCTGTCACTGCCCTGGAGCGTTAGTGCCTGTCCCAGCATCACCATCTAGACGCTAGCGGTGATGCCCTCACCAGATCTGCGGCTGCTCCCCATGGCTGCTCCCTGTGGCCTCATGCAAAGCAGCCTTGGCTTTGTCTGCTTCCTCCTGTGAAGAGCGACGGGGAGGAACCGATCTTAACGTGCCCCAGCATAGTCCCTCCCTTCCGAAAGGACCATCTGGCAGATACGTTTCTTTCTCTCGCCCTCAAAGCATTCCTTCTGTCCGCATCCAGCTGACCTCACCAGTCTGTGTTTGGAGTCAGCATCACGCCTCAGCTGGGAACATTTGGGCCAGCAGTCTTGTTCTTTCATTACTTCACTGGGACAGTAGCCCTTCTCTTTTTTCAAAGCTCTGTTTCTCCCAAAATACCTCTGACCATTGCTAGCTGAAATGCTGGAACGCGACCTGCCCCAGCCAGCCATTTCCCTCTACTTGCTAGCAGTTGTCCAGGCAGAGATGCTGCTCCTCTACACCTTTTGTCTGTTCATCTCAAGCATATCTGCTCCCTGTTCAGTCCCAAGTGCCAGGACTAAGTGTCCTAACTCTCGAGGCACACACCACAAGAATCATTTAGCAGACTGCCTGTCAATATCAAACATACAAAACCCGAATCCAAAACTGTAATCGGTTTCTCAAAGCAAAATCATTTACATGGAGTTTGAGTAGTCCATTCCTTGACTTCTCAACGTCAGTGTGAAGTGAAGGCACAGGGTCAACGTGCCCACTGCTAACCACTGCACTGCATTTAACGTCGCAGCGCTGACTCTTCAGCCCCTTCTCAATCAGGGAAGGCCTCAGTCTAGCGAGGTGTTTAGACCTCTGCCTACTTCTAAATGTGCAAAGAGTCCCAAGGGCGGTGTTCGGTCAGGTTTCAAGAGGCAGTTAAACCAAAGCATCAGCTGCCACAGGCAGCGGTCCCCTGCCTTCTCCTGGGCTCTGGCACCTGCCTTTCTCTCCGGGTGGCTGGCTTAGCTTGCCAAAACAACAGCTTGCCTTCCCGGACCCAGCAACCAGGCCAGGATAATCTCACGACAAGAGATGTGGAATTCCAGCGAGCTCACACTCTCCTGCTAATTCATGCTAAGCAAAGTTATTCCAACATGAAAATATGGCTAAAAACATAGAATATATTTAAAGAATGCTCTTGATTAAACCTATTCTACAACAGTCCATGGTCGTGACTCTACTTCTTGCCCTGCTTCCTCCACGCAGGATCCTGAAATCCACCATCTCATGGTCACTGCAGCCAAGGCTGCCCCCACCCTAAAGGTTCTAGCCAAAGTGCAGTTTTGGTTCATCACTGTTACACAGCTCATATTATTCCACTTCATTCTCCGTTTGTTCAAAAAGTTACCATCAGTGCTCTGCAGGAACCTCCTGGACTGCGTATGTGTGGCTGTGTGGTCTTTCCAGCAGGTATCAGGGTGGTTGAAGTCCCCCATGAGAACCAGTGCCTGTGATCATGAGGCTACTTTCAGCTGTCTGTAGTAGGCCTCATCGCCTTCCGCTCCCTCATTAGGTGGCCTGTAGTAAACACCCACAACAGTTTCACCCATATGAGCCTGTCCCTTTGTTCTTACCCATAAGCTCTCGACTCGTTCTTCATCCACCCTTAGGCAGAACTCAATACATTCCAGCTGCTCTCTCATGTAAAGAGTGACTCCACCACCTCGCCTCGCTGGCCCGTCTTTCCTAAAAAGTCTGTAGCCATTTACGGCAGCATTGCAGCCATGCGAGCTGTCCCACCATGCCTCTGTAACTGAATGAGATCATGGCCCTGCGACCACACGCAGATCCCGAGTTCATCCTATTTATTCCCGATGCCGCGTGCATTGGTGCAGAGGCATTTCAGAGAGGTAATCAAGCACACAGGTTTCCTTAGAGGGGTGCAAGAGGACGCACCATAGCCATACCCACCCTTAAGGTGGTTGACCTTCTGCTTCTCTGCTTGGGAGGCAGCTAAGAAACACTTCTCACTGCTCTGGTTGGCCTGGCCTATTCCCCAGTTGGGTGCAATGGCTTGGACATTGTCACTTTGGACCCTGTCCCCTGAGTCCTTCAGTTTAAAGCCCGCCACACCAAGGCCAGGGCTCCGTCACCCTCAGAGGGAAGAAGTTCTTCCTCCTGTTCAGCTGGAACTTCCTCTGCTTCAGTTTGTGCCCATTGCCCCTTGTCCTGTCGCTGGGCACCACTGGAAAGAGTTTGGCCCCGTCCTCCTGACACCCAGCCTGCAGATATTTGTAAGCATTTATTAGGTCCCCTCTCAGCCTTCTCTTCTTCAGGCCTCTTGTAGACAAGTGGATCCCATCCCTCCCTAACAGGTTATAGTCATCAAAAAATGCCCCTTTGTCATAAAAACCAAAACCCTCATGATGGCAGCAGCCACAAGGCCAGGAGTTGATACGCATTATGCGTCTATTTCTGGCTACCCCCTCTCCTCCAGCCGGTAAAATGGAGGAGAAGAGAACCTGGGCACCAATACATTTCGCTTTCCCCTTCAGGGCTTTGAAGTCTGCCTTGATTCTGACCAGGTTCCGGCTTGCGGTGTCATTCGTGCCCATGTGAAAGAGTAAGAGTGGACAGTGGTCAGTGCTCTTGACAAGTTGTGGCACAGTCTCGGACTTCAGCTTCCGCAAGGCAGCAAACCTCACTGCCTGTCAGGTCGGCAGATGGACACCTCACTGCCCCTTAGCAGAGAGTCACCCACCACGAGCGCTCGTTGTTTCTTTTTGCGGTATCCGCTGCGTGCTGCTGCTATAGTTTCTCCTTGCAGACCATGCTCGTGGGTGTCTGTAGCTGTTAAATCTTCGTATCTGTGTTTGGTTGTGGTGCTGGAGGGTGGAGGGTGAAGCAGAGTCCTGCTTTTGTGGGTCACCAGGGTCCAAGGTGCCTCATTCTCAGTGGTGTCCGCTACAGGAACACAGTTCTGAAACCACCTACCTATCTCTATCTCAACTCCTCTAATCGTGCGCAGCCTTGTAACTGTTTCCTGCAGCTCAGCCACCTGACGTAATAGATCCTCAGCCTGTGCACACCTTCTGCAGGGACTTACCTTTGCTCCAGGAGAAGGGTCTGGGCACTGGCTGCGACCTACTGCCGGTACCGAAGTCTCTGTCCTTGTCAGTTCCATCCGGGTGGAAGCATCAGACATCTCTGGGCCTTGCTCTGTAGGAACATTGGTTTTAGCTCTGAGCTGCTGGCTCCTGGCGGGTCTCGCTGCTCTTTCTTGGGTTTCCCTGGCTCTGGGAACCCTCCTCTCTGCCCCAATCCAGTGCCCATCAGGTCTCTGAGGATATCTTCATCACCCAGATCTACAATGGGTTGTGTTCCTCACCTCCAAGTTCACACAGCAACCTACTGTCAGCCACGGTGTGCCCAGGGGGTTGTTTTCCTTCTTCCATTTTGATATATACAGGTGTTACCTGGCGCACGGTTCACCTGCTGTCCTTTGTGAGGATGGAGGGCAAAGCTGCTTCCCAGTCATCACCACTCCCAGCACAAGCGGGAAGGGAACTTCAGGGCAAGGGGCAAGGGGCACAAACTGAAGCAGAGGAAGCTCCAGCTGAACAGGAGGAAGAACTTCTTCCCTCTGAGGGTGACGGAGCCCTGGCCCAGGCTGCCCAGGGAGGCTGTGGAGTCTCCTTCTCTGGAGATATTCCGCCGGGGCTCGGTCCTGTTCAGCCTGCTCTGGGTGACCCTGCTTTGGCAGGGGGTTGGACTGGGTGACCCACAGAGGTCCCTTCCAACCACAACCATTCTGTGATTCTGATTCTGTGATTCTGTCTCAGCCTACACGGCTGGAAAAGGACGGATGTCGTGCCACTTCTCACAGCAGACGCAGGCAGCAGAATGAGAGGGGTTTGCTCCCCTCCAGACGCCCCAGGCCTGTCCTACCAGCCTGGCCCACACCACCTCTAGCATAGGCTGCCTTGTAACCTCGTCGAAGAATCCTTGCTGTGAGTAGTTCAGCGGTGTTCAGACAGGCAAGCAGCTGCCACTAATACAGGATTTTTGCTGCAACTCTTTTTTATGTGACAAACGCTGTGCCTCGGCTGTGCTGGAGCAAGGGACGGGCTGCTGCCAGCTGAGCTCAGCCAGAAGGTTCCTGCAAGTGCCGCAGGGACAATGTGGGGCCACTTAATGAAATCCAAACCAATACAACAAAAGGGCCAGCGCTGTGATGCCTCACTTCGTGGTGTTGCTGAAGAGTAACTATGAAAGGAGCTGCACCGTAATTACTCGATTCGTGTCCTCTGGTGCTGAGGTGCTACTGCCTGACAGCCATGAGCCACACCTGAGAGTTCGGCTGTTCCCCCAGCTCTACAGAAATGGAACTGATAGCAGGATTCATGACTCAAAAAACAAACTCTTCTTACAGTACGGTATCGCAATAGTAATCTATGTCCTTGTGGGTTCCTCACCATCTCAACCAGCTGTGAAGTTTCAGTGCTCAGGTAGACGTTCCTCAGTGCACGACGGCGGTAGGCAAGAGCAAGACTGAAGTTCAGACGGGCCACCCTGCCCACAGAGGGTGAGGAGGCCATGCCAACAGCCGGACGGAAGCCCTCGAGCACGTAGTGTAGACCCTGCCCGGTTAAGCGAAACGGAGGGCAAGCGTGAGGCCGTTCCAGCCTGCTGCAAAAGGTGTGTGGGAAAAGCCACCCTTTGCACTTCTCCCTGAAGGTTTACTTTTGACTTTGAAGTAACATTTTTTTTTAGGCTAATTTTCCTTTTCCGTCGCAGCTGGGTGCCACAAAGACTGTAAAAGGCAAGACAGAACGCTCGACTAAAAGAATTTTAGAAGCAACAGGAGATTTGTGGTTAAAAGTTATTTTGAGCTCCTGCTGTGGAAGATGTCCCCTCGCTGAGGGCGGCGCAAAGTTTGATTCTCAAAAGCTCCCCTCTGATCGTACGTTAAATAAACAGCTGCTGTTTGAATAAAGAAGAAAGGAGCTTTGAGAAAGTTCGATTTGTTATCAGCCACGTACTAAGAGCGCTTTATTTTGGAGAGGGCTTCAGATGATTATTGAAGTCGAAATCTCATTATTCTAATCATCGGAAAAGACCAGAATCAGATAGGTTTCTTTCAATAGTCACAAATGCAGAGATTGCTCACTGCCTTCGACTTTATCTTGTTATATCTGAGGTGGCAACATCCTACGGTAAATGTCTTCCATCTTCTCTCTTTCTGCTGTCCTGCAAGGCCCAGAGTGGTTTTCAGTCTGTGCTGGAGTACTTCAGCATCCAACTCACTGGGAGGCTTCGAAGCTCGTGTAGACAGACAGCAGCTTCTTCCCAGGACAGCTGCCGCGGATAGTTGCTGCTCTCTCAAGGTGGATCTCTTCCGGGCCTATCCCACTCATGTTCTTTGAACTTCAAACAAGAGTCTGAAGCATTGCCCCTGCACTAAGACTTCTAAGCAGGTCTCTGGGGTGCCCAGTTCTGCCCAGCAGCCCCTCCTAAACATTGAACCTCTCCATCTGCCTGGTTCCTGCACCTCCTCCCACCCCACAACAGCTTTCATGTACTGCTAGAAGTGCAGGCCTCCATTGATGAACTCTTCAGGAAGGACACAGCGTTCTTAGGGGGAAACCAAATCTTCTGCCTGAGATGAAGGCAGTTCAAGGGTTTTCTTCCAGGACCCTGAGAAGACCAGTCGATATATTAGTCAGGCCTCCCACCCACATACAGAAGCGTGTTGAGCTGTCTTAACTCCCATCGAGAGCTTGTTGTCTCTTTCTTTCTCCTCTCCAAATTGCTCTAAAGGCTAGGATCATCACCGAGGAGGGTTTTGTTTCCTTCTGAGCATCAGCGTTGCCGTCTCCTCAACACCTATCCCAGAGTGAAGCTGTGGGCCAAGCTGCAAACCATCTCACTTTCAGTAGAAAGTCATTGAGTTGGGATGACGGGCCATTGTCACCGGCTGGGGAGGAAGAGGGTGACTGGGCCATCACGGGAGCAAATCCACATGGGCATGGACGGTGCTCGGGGATATAACGAATGCCATGAGCTGTATGGTCTGACAGCCTGTCAGCTTGCAGCAGGTCCTTCCACGCACATTTTATGGTTGAGGACTTGGCACACAGGAACGTTAGGCAGCTTAGCCAGAGTCACCCATGCAATGTGTGGTAGACCTGTGAACATACCTTGGGAGATGCAGGTTGGTGCCATAAGGGCTAGATGGCCCTTCCTCAGACCATGTTTGGACTTTGTAACTTCTCCTGGCGCAGGGAGCAGAGGTGGCTGGTGGCAACACAGCTGTGTCGGTCGGGTTCCCGGCGTTGCTCTGCAGAAACCAAGCGCAACTGGCAGCTGAAGAGGAGATGGGATGAGCAGGGACAATGCAGAGACAAGAGGGAGCAGTACCCAGCAGGAGACACAGGGGAATAAAGGCAACAAAGGAGGCGAGGAAAGTCAGAGAGGACACTGAAGAGGAAACAGACCTAACTCAAAGGGAAGGAGCTTGAAACAACCAGTCAAGGGACTTTTTAAGCCACCATCTTGTGGCCACCTATGGTGTGCTTAGCATGGCCGAGTTCCCACTCTGACAGGCCTCAGGACTGACGAATGCAGAGGGCATTTCTGAGAACAGCGGCTTTTACCTTTTCACAACCCGTCCAACTAACGGGAAGGAAGAACACCCCAACCTCTTGCTAACACCGCCAGGCAAATCTGAGAGTGAGGAAGGCTCTGCGCCACACAGCCGAAGCGTGCCTCCCCGTGCCCCACCAGGACCTCAGCACGGGCCCCCCCCTGCCTCGCCATGGACCGTTCAGGCTCCAAACACACAGCAGAGGATACTCCGCTGTCCTCCACACCTCCTTTGAGGAGCTACTGGAGAGGGTCCAGTGG